GTTCACACTGCCATCTGTCTTCCCTAACACGCTCCCTCACGTTCACACTGCCATCTGTCTTCCCTAACACGCTCCCTCACGTTCACACTGCCATCTGTCTTCCCTAACACGCTCCCTCACATTCACACTGCCATTTATATTCCCTAACACGCTCCCTCACGTTCACACTGCCATCTGTCTTCCCTAACACGCTCCCTCACGTACACACTGCCATCTATATTCCCTAACACGCTCCCTGACGTTCACACTGCCATCTGTCTTCCCTAACACGCTCCCTCGCGTTCACACTGCCATCTGTCTTCCCTAACACGCTCCCTTAAGTTCACACTGCCATCTATATTCCCTAACACGCTCCCTTACGTTCACACTGCCATCTATATTCCCTAACACGCTCCCTCACGTTCACACTGCCATCTGTCTTCCCTAACACGCTCCCTCATGTTCACACTGCCATCTATATTCCCTAACACGCTCCCTCACATTTGCACCGTCACTTTGCTCCATCGGCCTGAGCATCCTGATCACCTTTTTCCCAGTCAGCCTGTTGGCTGGATGACTGCCTCGTTACCCCTGTCAAACGCAGGGGAGGGTCCAGCCTGAAAAGGACATTCTGTTCATTCGCATTACTATTTATATCCCGTGAGCACAGTGGTGGCTTCTCTAGAACACCCCCTCACACCCCCTCAGGATGTCATATATTCCTACCTACCTGCCCCCCATCTTCTACATTTTGCAAATTCACTTTTAAAGTAAATCTCTTTTCACTGTATACTCCAAAGACTGAGGTTAATTAAATTATAATTAACAATTAATATGTAACCTTTAGCAATATTTTTGTAAAAGAGAGAAAATGTATTCCAACAAGGACAGTAAGAAGCATTAAATTTATCTATAATTCTGGACAGAATTTACCATAAGATGCTTTTTTTATTGCTTACGATAAAACTGTGCACTTCTTTCTCTTTTTTATGACATTCTTTCTGCATTACTTGTGTCTTATGACCATTCAGGAATTTCTTAGATAACATGCTTATTTGTAGCTTTTGTGGTAAATTTGCAACTAAGTTGTAACTGTCTTTTAGTGCATGGAGATGGAGTGGATCCACAGTCATGTCTGTCTGGCGCATACTCTGATCTTTATTTAATTAAAGCAGAGTGCTAAGCTATTTCATAAAGTTGAGTGCTTATTTTAATACTGTGTCATTTGTGGTTACGAATGTTTAGATGCAGGTGTGTATTTATGTTATATAATATATTTCCTTTAAATATTCACCCATAGTAGTTGGTGAATGTTAGCACATTAAGTAAAGAAACACAGCTCAATAGTTACTTTTTCAGTAACCGAAATTACCATGAAGCCTTTGGGGAAAAAGAAAAGTATATTATAAAACATAAATACATGTTTATATACTCGGTTAGATGATAACAAATAAGTTATTAGTGATATCCATACTACATAATACAATACATGTGTTTAAATGTTAATACAGGTTACATATCTCATAAAATATATAAAAACGGTGCTATTTATTGTTGGGAAAGTTATGTCATGAATTTGTCCCGTAGGATTTAACCTTTGCAAGTCCAGCTTCTCCCTGTAATTCTGTTCGGAAACAGATCATTAAATCGAGTAGCTCTGGTTTCAGGGGCAGAGATAGTGAGAACATGAGAGGGTGCGACCGCGTCGAGCAGCTGCAAGGCCGGCTTTCTTTAGCCCCATGTAAACTGTCAGTCACTGATACTCCTGCTGCAGCAATAAGATCTTAATTCTGTCACTGCTAACACGTTCCAGAAAGTCCCTGTAACTGTAGCTTAACACATCATGCAACTATTTATTATTTTCTTCCTCTTATAAAAAAAAAGTGTTTTGAAACATACCCTGGCCCCATAGTTGCCTCTGAAGGGGCAGCGGATATGAACATGTAACCTGATGTCCCAAGATGAGACCCTTGAGCGATATCAGTGCATCGCTCTATTACGGTCATCCGGCTGTGTCAGTGGGTGAAACTGTAAGTTGCTTTGGGGAAAAGTATCAGCTGGACGATGAAACATACTGACAAAAGGCGCCTTCTGAAGATGAGGACCGAAATGATTGAGCTTTCTGTAAAGAACATTCCTACTCATGCTTGTGAAATAAGTAAACTGCCCTCCAACAACAGACCTGTATACCCACATGTACATTTGGGCTCTAATCAACAAGTTCTCTGTTTCACAAAAGATAAGCAATGTTACAGGGAAAACATGCATTCAAGGTTAAATGATTTTCAAACATTTTCTCAGCAAAGTCTGATTTTACCCATGTTATAAGAATTAAAAAATGTTTCCCACACAATGTCATCTCAAGTATATTGTTCCCATCAGTGGGATCTTAAGTGCTCAAATTTAAATAGACGTTTTTTTGTGATTGAAATGGGAACTGAAGGCACCCTGAGATTATCTGGGAAAGAGACCAGGACACGCAGCAAACTGATTCAGTCACACTCATCATTTTTATAAGATGATGAAGCTCTTTTTGGGACAGATTTGCTCTTTTAAGTGTCACTAGCTGGCTTATCGGCGGCTCGGCTGAGAGGGACTCGGAAGGTGGCTGTGTCAGTCCCATCGCCTCGTGTTTTGTTCTCCGGCCAACAGGGGCCGCCCACGCAGCTCCACCAGGGAGCTCTGTCCGGTTCCTCTAGACCATCTGCCACTGCTCTGATCACACTGTGACAGCTAGGCACTACCAGAGGAGGTGTGGAGGCAGAATATGTCTCAGTGCACACTGTCCTCACAACAGTACACTCACTGTCCATTTATTACTTTAATAGCCCTAACCATAAGTAAAGTACATATGTTACAGCTTTATAGTATTTACAGCTGAATTGACGTAACCCTCAAGGGTCAATATGCGCCCCTGTGGTCAATTTTGCCTGCATATCTGCCCCCTACTGGCCTGTATGTCGGTGTGAAACATGCTCACCTCTTTGCTGAGGTGTGTACGGGTGCCACAGCAACATCAAGGGCCCAAGTGACCAGAAGAGAGGGATGAACGATGCTTCGTTATGAAGCTGACGGGAGGAGGGGAGTGTTTAATACGTGGCTGACTCATCGGTAGTGATGACGTGGAACCTCCCCAACACGCACGCACACTACGGAGGAAACAGTACTCGAGCAGACAGGTGCAGGTTTAATGCTGGCCCTGCTATTTCAGCATGGGAACATTGTGCTTTGCGCCTCGTTTCCCACACGCACACAGCCTCTCTCATCTTTTAGCATTTTAATTTTATCTGCAATCCACTTATTATTCGGACTCCTGCTTACCTGTGTCAGAAGCCAGATTCCCCCTGTTTTGAGATGGGTGAGGTGCTCCTGCTGCCCGGTTGGCTACCCGCAGTATGGCCACAGGGGGCGCCGTTCTCCCGCAGCCTGTGTCCGTGCCAGAGAGCACCCTGGCAGGATTATGTAACAGGCAGTTTGCAGCCTATTTTTAGCGCAGCTTTGTGGAGGCAAACTGTGAGGAGACAAACAGCACGGGGTAGAGACACGGAGGAGCGGACGGCTTCGTCACGGCTCAGCTGCCGCTGGGCCCCGTAAACAATAGAAGGGAGGCCTATTTTTATGCTGCCTGCAGGTGGGGAGAGGAGAGTGACAGCGAAGAAGATGGCAGCGTGTGGACATGTGCGAGTCTGGCCATCAGACCCCTCCGCCGCAAACACCAGACAGACACCAGAAATCCTCTGTACAAATTCTCAGGTAGAATCACCTGGCAAGCAGAGGTGCAGTCTTGGTGATGGGTTATGAATAAGCTTTTGGGTTTTTGCCAGTGCAGAAGGGTAAGTGCCAGCACTGCTTCTCGCCATGTGGGTCACATGTTCTGTCGTTTATCGTCATTGGCCAGGGACACTCGGTCACGCCAGGTTGCCATAGCCACAGGCCCCAGGGCTCTCGTTCCAGACGAACTTCACCAGCTTTGTGCGTTCCTCAAGGGGGGGGGGGGGGGGTAAGTTAAAATGTAACATTTGCTGGGAGTAATTTTGCCGGTAAATCTGAGATACCATCCGTGTGTGGACATTCCTGTGGAGGCAGACCAGGGCTGCTAGTTGAAACGGCTTCATGTGGGACGTCCCCAGAGTGTACATCCATCCCCAGCTGGGCTGCCTGACGCTTACCGAATGTCACATGACTCTGTGATTGCATCACATGTTGCGCAAGTTGGGGGTTTTCAAAAACACTGTTTGTCTGGGGCCTTGGCTCTGACTGAAAATGAGATCACGTGATCTTGTGCCCCCTGTTATAAACGATCGAGCCTACATGTTCGCTTGGCCTACTTAAAATCACGAGAAAATGTTCCCGTCCAGCAGGAGGCGGTCTCATGGCAGTCCCCAATTTATGAGAAGCAGGCAGAGGTGCGGGGGTATGCTGGTTTAGGAGGGGGGTGAAGTGCCCTTTCTGGAGGCCCTGTTGACCAAAAGTATGGCTCTTTTTTAACCCTGGTTAAACCCCTTTGAACAGGGGTGCTGCCCTTTGTTTTATACGTCTGTTTGTGGTTTTAATGGATCCTTTCTCTCTCTCTCTCCGCAGATCTGAGTGACCACCTGCTGGAGGTGGTGGGGCTGGAGGGAGCGATCGAGATGGGTCAGATCTACACCGGGCTGAAGAGCGCTGGCCGCAGGCTGGCTCAGTGCACCAGCGTCGTCATCAGGTCAGGGGGGCTGCTGGACCGGTATCTCGCCCCTATAAGCTGGAGGACCATGGGAAAATGGTAGCATTTTCCACTCAGGATTTTAGTGTGAGATGGTTAGAGTGATGGCAGAATGGAAAATATGTAAGATAATGTAAATGTATAGAGATTGGCCTGGCTGTTGGACATGGAGGTCTGTCAAGTGGGTTGAAATATGTTTGGTCTGATCATTATTTTGGATGTTTTTGTAACTTTTGCAGGGTTACACTCCATTAAGCATCATTTAAAGCACATTTTCCTCTCATATATCTCAGCTACGGGCCAAACCCAAACGCAGGGTGGTTTTCCTGCTGGCCGTCTCCCCACTTTCTCCCTGGTTCCTTAAGCTGCCTCTAAGCCAGTGTGATGCTGACTGGGGGGGGAGGGGGGGGGGTTCCTTTACACTGGTGCCCTTTGTGTCTTGTGCTGAGGAGCCCGTCTCTCAGGTACTGTATGCCCTTTCAGGACGTCCCGCCTGATGCCCATGCAGATCGACGGTGAGCCATGGATGCAGCCCCCCTGTACGGTAAGATGCAGCCCCCACCCTCCCCGACCCATGTTCGCTACATCATCCTTTCCTCCCAGCCCACGCTCTAACAGCACAGTTAATTATAACACTGTCAGCACACCGTGCCTAGAGGCTGACTGATTATGTCATTACAGAGAAGAAATATACAGTGGAATACATTTACATGCATCAGAAGCTCAACAATCACTTCTATATATAGTATCCTCCTGCAAATAATGCATAATTAAAATGCATGTCTGCATTCAGCATTCGTCAGTTTTCTCTGCTCTCTTTGTTTGGCAATATGACGAACAGCATCCAGTCCAAAAGGTTTCAGGATGAGGTGTTAATGGATCGGACAGTCACAAGCTCATACCTTAAAATAAAGCGGTCTTGGATGAAGTCCAATGTTTCTGCATCATTCTAAGCAATAAATATATGGGGCCGGTCAACTCAGCTAGCACATTCCCTTCATGTCAGTGTCTGTGAGGTATTTACAAGTCAAAACACATGTACAGTTTGAAGCAGTTCTTTCCTGTTACTCAGCCTTTGTGATTCTTGACTTTTTTCCTGGCTCCTCATCAGAGTTTTGAATAGATTGTTCCATATNAAAACAGACAGACAGTTTGAAGCAGTTCTTTCCTGTTACTCAGCCTTTGTGATTCTTGACTTTTTTCCTGGCTCCTCATCAGAGTTTTGAATAGATTGTTCCATATGAATGAATGAGCAGAATGCCAGACAAGCACACTTCAGGCTGTCATCCTTGCTGTCTTTGCTCCTCAGATACAGATCACGCACAGGAACCAAGTGCCAATGCTGTTGGGCCCCCCGCAAAAGACCCCCTTCTTCTTCTTCAGGAGGCGTAACAGAAGTCGAGACTAGCGGAAGGACTGCCAAGGACGGCCCTGCCTAACAGGCCCAGAGAATGATCGATGCAGGCCCGTACTGCAGGGTACTTTGGGTTTGCCAAACTCGGCGTCTGGGCAGTCTAGCTGCCAAGGCATGGCATGGAAAGTGACACAGAGATATACTATAGACAACCCCTCCAGCAATGTTTCCTCTAAACCCCCCCGAGAGGTGTGCCTCTCACACCGTAACCCTAACCACCAGTCTCCAAAGCTCCCTGCGTATTTGTGGGCTCAAATCCCTTTGACCACTGCAGACCCACTAGTGAAGCTGTTCCTCTTCTCAGCTACCCCTGCCTACAGCTTCCACACTTCCTAGGCAACATATCATGCCCTTTCAGATCCACAATCATTACCCAGGGTTGGTTTATAAATAAATGCTGCCATTGCCATATTTAACCAGATGGGCGAGCCATCTAATGGTGGCAGTATGCATAGTGGTAACGAAGTGATTTCCCCTCTTTGTATCCTTTGTTTTGCTTGTGAAAGGAACATACATGTACGTATATCAGTGTTCCTCAAACTAATCCTCAGGGACCCCAGGCAGGGAGCTGGGGGGAGCAAAAATGAGGACTGTCTGGCAAGGAGATGGGAGGGAACAAAAGCAGGGACCATCTGGGGCTTCCCAAGCGACCGGGTTGGGAAACACTGACATATATCAACATGCATGTTAAGAGCTAAGATTTGTCTAATGAGACAAGTGAGTGTGGTTTGAAGGGTACCATAAATAATAGATGAAAGGATACAAAACATCCACTTTAGTCATCCTTTACAGCTCCAGAACCATCCAAAGCTCATCTATAATGGAGGATTTCTTTGCAGGATAGTGGGCAGATGGGAATATGAGCATGGAAACAGGCCACAGGATCGGTATGTGCTGGCAGAAATCATACCCTTTGTTGCCTTGCTTCACCAGATGGGGCGCCGCTGAGAATAACTTTTTTATCTAAAAATGAATGGATGTGATCAAGATGGAGAGGGTGGTCACACATCTTCCCTAGGTGCAGCTTTTGCATTCGAGCATAACCCCAGAACACAACACTGGCCCTCCGATGATGTTTCCTTCACCAAGCAGGAGGGAGGCTCCCGTTGCCCATGGAGCAGGCCACCCCTCGATATCTCCTGGACAATGTGGACCCAGCTTTAGGGCAGTGGTGGGGACTCGTTGCTGGTCACCTGAGCCAGCAGTGCACAGTGCAAACACTCATCACTGGAGCATGTGGACACAGAGCTTTAGGGCAGCAGTGAGAATTTGTCACTGACCACCTGAGCCAGCAACACATAGTGCAAACACTCATTACTGGTGCTCCAATACCACAGAGAGAGGTTCACAGAAGTGTCCCATGGGCCTCACTTCAGAGCAACCAGTACTGCAAAAGACAGCTCCCCGGAGGTAGCAGAGAAGGATACTCAGTGTATCTCTCTGATTGGGGGATACTCAGTGTACCTCTCTGATTGGGGATACTCAGTGTACCTCTCTGATTGGGGACACTCAGTGTAACCTCTCTGATTGGGGATACTCAGTGTACCTCTCTGATTGGGGATACTCAGTGTAACCTCTTTGATTGGGGATACTCAGTGTAACCTCTCTGATTGGGGATACTCAGTGTACCTCTCTGATTGGGGATACTCAGTGTACCTCTCTGATTGGGGATACTCAGTGTAACCTCTCTGATTTGGGATACTCAGTGTACCTCTCTGATTTGAACTGTTTGTCGCACACAGCATTGTAAAAAGTTCTGGGAAACAATCCAATCAAACAATGCAAACTATTACCCTGTGCCTCTGTGGTCCTGTCTACAGCAATAGTGTAGCCAGGATCTACTTTGAATGTGGTATTTTGGTATGTAACTGTATTTTATTGTCTGTATTTACCATGTCAAACATCGGCTTACAAAGTTTGGTCTACATTTAACAGTGCAAAATGGCATTCTGTAGATGGGAAAGATCAGTGGAGTACTGTAAATATTACAGCTGATTTTGGTTTTATCTAAAATTTCAGTACATGGTCCAGTCTAGAATTAGGCTAGCTGAAGTATCCCAAAGCTTTCAGTGAAGTTGTAAATGTTACAAATCTATAAACTTGACAGGACATACTTTAAAAATAGTTTAACTTTACTGTATGTGAGTAGAATTCCAGAAATGGTTACGAAATATATATTTCTCTATTTATTGAACTGCTCAATAGTAGCAGTAAGGATTTTCGGTGTCCTGATGTAGCTTCAGTTCAGGTACATGTACACAGTGTTTTTATAGGTGCAGTGTATGTGATTGTATTTCTTGATGCATCTTTACTGTAAGTTACTACATTCCAGATCGATGCATTTGCTGACCAATCAGTGCCAGCTGATAGTCTGTCTCCCAAAGTCCCTCTTTATGGTACATTGATGTATCGAGAGAAGTCACTCTCTGAGGGCTCCTGAATCCCTTTGAGCTACGTTCAGCTGAGAGTGTCAGGCAAGCACTCTTATGGGGAACCTGTTTTGTAACTATGGCCATAAAAACACACTTAGAGCCAAGGTAATAAGTCAAGGGAGAAGTGTTGGTAACTATGTAGATACATGTACATTTTTGTGAGGTTAGATCACTGCATGTCTTCTGATAATTAGCCAAAAACAGAAGCAAAGTTTGAGCTTTCCATCCCATTCATCTTGCAAAGACCTCGGGCTGCATCTATGTTTGCTGGGAAATTCTCAAAGTGATAATATTGGCCTCAATTTTCTCTATGTATGCACTGAATTTCCTAATATTTGGCATTATTGTCAGAAGCATTCACTCATTGTGGAGAACCACTAAGAAACATGCACGTGGACACATGAGAGAGGCCACATGACACCCGCAGAGTGCTCTGTGACACTCCAATAGGGGTGCCACATGACAGCCACAGAGTGTGCTGGTCCTGTAATTGCCTTAACTAATCAATACAAGAGCTGTAGCTCAGCTCAGTCAGGTGAAGCCACATTACATGCAATACAATCTGCTGGAAAATTACCAAAAATAAGAAAGAAAGAAAAACCTACCACTGTGTTTCCAGAAATGACTGACACAACATGATGGGTGGGGACTCCGTTGATTTGTGGTACAGGTTGGAACGATGGAGTCCCGATGCTGTCATTGGTCATCCTCCATCATATGACCTCAGCAGCCACTGAGTAAACAGCCATTAGAAGTGAATACCTACCACATTGTCTTTTTTATATGCCTGTGTCTATGCTAAACCTGGCTGTATTTATGTCCACATACTAAGTAAACCAAGATAACCCGGCTTGCTTCTGAAATACGGAGCTGAAGCATTGTTAAATGGCAGACAGACCTACCCTGGGTCCTGTCAAGTGTTCAGTCCTCCCAAAAGCCTACAGAAGCTCCACTTTTGCTCTGCTGCACTTTACTGGGCCATGGGACAGAGAGCTATGTAGATGTACATTTCATTTGAATGAGCATTTCTTCCCCTTATCATTGTGACCTTGGTAAGGGCTGCTTCCCAGGAGCAGTGTTGCTTATCGTATTGTGGTGCCATCGGCCTATTTTTAGCAAGAGTGGATTAAAAGTATTGAATGACATCAAAGCCACAGATGCAGTATAGATGCAGAGTACATTTCATTCTAGATGGTGAACACCTATGTGTGTCCACAGACTCAGTCCCATATGATAGAGTACATTTCAATCTAGACGGTTAACATCTATGTGTGTCTACAGACCCAGTCCATATGATAGTTTGGTGTGCAGCAGTCCAAGGACACAGGGAAGATGAGACCCTTGGCTCGGCTCACTTTTCCTCACCAATCTTAGCTGTTGGATACAACATGATGGAGTGAATAAAAAGATTAATATTTATTGTGGAGTATTGCTTTTCATTGGGGGAGGGAAACGAGGATTATGGGAAATCTGCAGAAAGCTTTTCCATCTGGCATAAGCACATATGCACTGCTCTCCCAAGCTATTATATTAGCCTGACTTTCGATACATAACCCGTAGTCCTAAACTATACTCAAAATCACAATTTAGAAAAGAAAATTTCATTTAGGAAACAAAAAGAGTTCCTTCATCCTATAGATGCACGCTGAGCATATAGTTCTGTCTCTATTGCTGTACAGAATTTCTACACGAGTCAATTACCTGACTTTTCACTAATTTATACACCTGGTTATTTTAATGGAGTAATTCAAATTTAACACAATGTTCATGGTGCCCCTCCATCATATAGGACCATAATCAAGCAAAGTGCAGGGTACAAATCTTTGGTCTTAGCATTAGGCTACCTGCTGACATATGCTGTAAATAGTTTTAAAAAACAGCTGCAGTTTGCGATACATTGCACTGCACCCTACATTCACATTGATATGATTCTGGCACATTAACCTTATGACTCTATGGACTGTGTGAAATGCTGGGTCCCGCAGCATCCGGACTCTGTCACGATGTGTGTCTCTGGTCACCGTGTGTGTGTGTGGGGGGGGGAGGGGGGGGGATAGTGTCAGACCTGGAGACCTCAGTACCGAAATCAGCTTCCAATGCCTCATTAGTGGCAGGTGAACAGGATCACACTGATCGTCAGGAGCATGTCAAACGGACTGTGTGCTCTGGCCCAATCAATGACCACCGGTGGGGGATGCTATTTCAGGGGTGCTGTTTCCATAGGCCTGTGGCACCCTGCTTCCCTGTTGGATTGTGGCCTATAGCAGGATTTTGGGGAAGGTGGTGACAGCTCAGCAGCCTCCGGGGTGACCCCATAGTGCGTGTCCAGCTTAGCAGGACAGGCAGAGTGCAATCTACACTCCACTCCCAGGCTCAGGATTCTCCCATGAGGCCGAGCGATATTCATATGTTAGCACAGTATTATTACTCATAATGTATTTTTAACCACCTGTCCCCATGGGGAACAATAGGGCCAGAACTGCTGCAAGACGTGTCACATTGACCGAGTCTCATCGAGCTTGACAACAAACACAGTGTTATTCTAGGTGGCTCATATGTTACCTCTGGCCCATTCTCCCTTTCGTATTGCAGAAGGGACCACAACCAGCTCAAAGTATCCCAGCATTTTAATAGCAAAAATTCCATGGATATGTCCCCTCCACCTTGGGATAAGGAAGATGAGCTCTATAAGATTTCAGATGGATTCAGAATCTTTTTGTTAAAATGTTTGGTTGATTTACTAATTATATCAGAATGAGAAGTTTGAGAACCCACCTTTACAATGCTCAGTAGATAGATACACTTATGTATATATATAGTTATCATTAGCCTGCAACAGTAGCGAGAATAACATGGGTTTATTCACATCCTCCTTTGACCTCTGGACACTAATCTCCAGCATGTCACAGGGGATGTAAGATTTGTCCTTCATGAACTCATATGATCCATCAAAGACAGTTACCCTTTATCACAAACAGTGACAAGATTTTGTAGACCAATTTCTAGACCACCATCAGAGGACATGAAACGATCAATTCCACATAGACTGACTGCAGATTAGTAATTTGATTAGGATTAGCTAGATGTGGAGGATCTGAGTTTTAAGTGCATTAGTCAATTCAAAGAAGATGACAGAATCAAAGTTAAACAGCGATACTCGAAAAAGTTTGATGAAATTATAAATTTGACATGCAAAAACTTACAACGTTCTTCTAGACATATAATACCTTATAGTGTGTTATTTTATTACTATATGGTGCTGATATAAGAAATGATCATTTGAAACCCGTGATATGTGGTCCACATGCTTTTACAGCATTCTGCTTATTTAATCAACTTTACATTGGGATAAACCACGGAGTGATTCACATAGTAAACAAGTAAGTCACAGCAGCTGTGATTTCAAAGACCCATTTCTCTATAAAATCACCACATTGTCACAACGACGCAAAAACTTAAAAAAAATAATAATTTATTCTGGCCAACCCAGGAAAACACTTTTTTAAATAATAGCTCAGCCCATAGTAAAGCACTAAATAAAGGAACAACAGAAATTGAAAAAGCCATTTAAATTTAAATTCGTAATAAATATCCTAATTTTACTGTTACTCCTTTAACCTCCATAATGTAGTCTCCAGGACTCAAAATTCAAGACACGGCTGTAGTTGGAATTTCTGAAGCAAACAAGGTATTTTCGTGACACACGTAAAGGCAGCGACGCGGAACTTAAATTTTGTTGTACCGCATGTCCCTTTAAGAGCCACTGTGGCCATGGTTAAAAAAAACATCTTTTAGTGAATGAAACCCAGTCATTCATAAAGTAGGCCAGGCTCATGCTGCGATTGGTCCTCCGGCACCTAATGCATAATTTAGTTATTCAGAAATCCCATTGGAAACTAACTCGAAAGGCATCGCCCAGCAGCCAATGAGCGTTAAGATTGGCGCCCCACGCGAACCCCAGGGAAAAAGCAGGCAGGTCCATTGAAGAAAAGCTCATTCAAGTTTAGTGAGTCACAGGGAGCATGTCGTGTTGACCAGTGTGCACGGTTGTGTTGTTTTTGTGTGGGGATCAAAGTCACCGATTTCTTTCGGTATATCAAGGGAAACACTCCAACGAAGAAGGGGTGAGTCCCGGAACACGCGTTACATAAATAAAACGCACAGACGCGTAGTAATGCTTTTGTCGTCTATTTCGTGAGCTGTCCGCACAGTTAGCCATGTACTTAAATGCTTTGTGAAAAAGACGAACGCCATTTTCTCCAAGTGAAATATAACTTTGGCAACCATTTTCTTATGCTTGGTATTAAGTTGCGTCAGTGTTTGGATACGGAACGGAAAAGCGTGATTGTTGAGGGCTCTATCGACGCTGTGCCTCGTCCGTGCTCCCCTGCATATCGCGCTCGGGGTCAGTGAAGCTTCGTCTGTTTGCGGTTTATGAATGAAGAGCCGCGTTTCTCTGCGCTGCTGCGCACGGATCCGATTTCACTTCATTGAGAAAAACAAGGGGCCGCGGAAGGGGGGGGAGAGGGGGAGCTATTGATTTCTCTAACTTTCTTTAATTTGATATATTACCGAGCTTTTCCTTACTGTGGACACTTACAAAAAGTGCATAGTTTTTGTCATTGCATTGTTATATTTTAGTTTCTGCATGTTATATAGAACCACTTTATAGCGTATGTAAACTTTTTCTTGAGCCAATTGTTCAACCGCATGATGATACATATTATCAAATTTCTCTTCTCATTATTAAAAGGGACCATTTAAGTGTAAATTGACCAGTGGTTATACTCTTTTAATAATTACAGCATTGTAGAGCGTTCGAGCAGTCGACGGAGTGACTGCTATCTCCAATCCAAGTCACTTTAAACAGGCTCTGCCAAATGACCCACAAAATCAGATTACGGTGAAATGTTTCTTCAGAGTCGCCTGCAAAGGTCGACAACGACCATATCTCAGCAAATCCCGCCTAATCGATTAAAGTCCATTTTTAAAGAGCTGGAGTAGTAAACGGGGGAATGAAGGGTTTTGCAGTGCCTTGTACACTGGATAATTTAGATTACGTGGTCCGGGCTTTAATAACTGTTTTTACTATTGTATATGTCGCATTCAAGATAAAGTGCACATACTGGGATTTGTGGGAAGGCGCATTTGCCTGGTAATTGCGTTACCATATGGACTGGCATGCTTCCCACAGATAGTGTCCTTTAATGGCGAAGTTCCTCTGAAGCGAATAAACTTGCTGCCTAATGAGGGTGCCGTCGCCCGCTACACCAACTGTCGTACGTTCCTGTGCCATTTTGCCTCCCTTACTTTCTTCCTTTTGTATCGGTCCATATCTTTAGATAACTGCGCCTTCAAATGACTGTGACTTTGTAAGTCCACCCTCTAAAGAAAGCCTGTTTGTATTGGCTTGTATACGGGTTTTGAGTTACACGTGCTATATTTATTTGTGTTGGCTGCAGAACTGTCTATGGCTTTGTGGTGAGTAAGCTGACCTGATTAACTGGAGGAGAGTATGGCGTTTTAGGCTGGACTGAGTGCATATTCGTGTGATGCTAACGGCTGTTCGACATCCCTGCTTTTTCAGGGAGATACTGTGGCGTTGGAGCCCCTTCACGCCAAGCCAAGGCCCCTTGTTGGGATATTTTGGACACACAGGCAGTATGGATGGATTTTATGACCAGCAGGTTCCCTATATGATTCCCCCTAATGTAAGTAACTGGTGTTATTAGTTTTGGGTTCAAAATTTCTATATCCTAATTGTTTATACCTATTTTAAACTAATACATATTTACGGGGTTGGGCAGGCAACCGCAGTCACTGGATATGTGGCCAGTCTTAAAACTATAGATTACTAATAAATATTTCTGATCCATGACAGAAATCTCATGTGGAAGTGTCATGTATGAGAACATCCAGTGACAGGAAGCGAAAGTTTGTGGACGCGGAACTTGCCCAAGACACAGAAGGTAATTAGACTTTGCTCTCACTGCATATAGGTATAGCTGGACATTCAGCAAATGAACTCTTCTGACTGCATTGCCCTGCTGTTTTATGAAACAGCTGACCTCATCAAATTTGGTTCTTTTATAACCTCTTGTTTTTCCGGCTAATGGTCTAGGTTACTGCTAGTCCCTGAAGACATCCGAGTACTTTTTTTTGTAGGGGAGAGGATGTGGAATAATTCAGTGAAATAATATTTTACGTCTTATTTGACAGCCTGCACTAGCAAAACAAGTGTCGAGCAACTTGCTCTTGTTAATATTTTCTGGGGTTTTTTTTGTGCAGAACTCTTTCAGGACCTGAGTCGACTGCAGGAAATCTGGATTGCAGAAGGTGAGCTGTTGCCCTTATTCTCTAAAAGCTATGAAATCACAGGGGATAAACAATGTCTCAAAACTGCCAAATGCTCATTTAAATCAGCTTGGCAATATCAGTTTTTATAAATTTTAATGTAATAAAGCAGCTGAAATATGAGTTGTACCTCCTGAGAAAGTACAGGATACTTTTATTGTCACGTCTGAAGTTTTTGATGTTTGCCATAGTTTTGCAGTTTTAAAGGGGGGGGGTCTTTCTGTTTATGAAATGGGGAATGGACTATGAGGAACACCTGTGCTTTTCTGGCATTCTGTCCCGCCCTGCCCTCCTGCTTTATATTTTGACATAAACAGCCCCCATCTCCTGCTCTCTGAGTGAATCGCTGTGACACACAAAAGTCACTTGGCAGGAGTTCTGTTTTCAGCTTAAGTGCCCTGAAAGGAACATTAGGAATGTGTCACGTGGGCCTAGCCTGCCGCTTTGGGCCAGGAAGTGAGCAGAAAAAAAAGACATAATTAATGTTTAGCAGAGGTTTGGCTTCAGAGCAGAGGTTGCACCATTTTACTTTTTAAAAATGAAAATGTGTAAAACATTGTTTTATCACTATTAATAAACAGCTACCCTACAAGCTGCGCCACTGGTCCGATCCAGTTCATCCAAGCGTTCAAACGCCACAAAGCTCTGTAAACATGTTTGTGAGCCTTCCCACCAATCCTGAAAAGCGTTCCTCAAGCTCTGCAGGGGCCCAAAAAATTTGCAACATAATTGGATTAGTCTGGGTCGGGGCCCCAATGTGATATGCTTTCACAGGGCCCAAATTCTCTAGAAGCACCCCTACATAGAACTTCTCTTTTTATTGAAGGAAAAGTGCCGTTGGTTCTGTTGACATGGGGTGCGGGAGCTTTTCCCACAGACAGCTGTCGCTGCACGGGGATGGCGCCCAGTGACGGCGCCCAGTGACGCTCATGCTGATCGCTTTCCTTCCTTCCCACAGCTCAGGTGCCAGATGACGAGCAGTTCGTCCCCGACTTCCCCTCTGATAACCGTGAGTGTCTGCATCGTCGCATTGCTGCGCTTGTGGCTGCTGCTTGTGTGTCCGATGATTGCAGACCCAACCCGCAAGCTCGCCTGAACCCATTAGTGCTGTGTAGGGTTCACAGGGAAGGCGTTCACGGCTGATGGGCCCAGTCCTTCTGTGTAATACAGCTGCAAATGTACATTGACTAGAAATGCCTTTGTTGCATCAAAACCGATGACATCTTATGAAATACAGTAGAGTAATGAAAATGCTGTTGGGTATTGCTGGAACTTCCTATGTCAATATTGGTTGGGGCACGGTTGGCCAGTGGTTAGTACTGTTGCCTCACACTTATGGAACCAGGGTTTGAGTCTCCACCAGGGTTCCATGTGTGGAGTTTGCATGTTCTCTCCCTGTTGTGGGGCTTCTTCTGGATGCTCTGGTCCCCCCCCAGTTCAAAACATGATGATTGGTTGGGGGGGGGGGGTGCCACTGTGATGGGGCCCTTATGTTTGGGGGCTGCTTTTGTAACCATGTCCCATCACTCTGCAGTGATGCTCCATGGCCCCCCGGCAACTAAGATCAAGCGGGAGCTCAGTCCGTCAAAAGAGCCGCCGGCCTGCAGTCGAGCGCAGCACCTCAGCCGCTACGGGGAGACGTGCCTTTACAGCTACAGGTGCCCCACCCGCTAATGCTGCCTCCCACCACCAGAGTGGCGCCAGAGTCACAGTCCTATAACTTACTGATCTTTACCCAATCTTTGCCCCCACAGTGCCTACGACAGAAAACCCACAGTCGGGTTCAAGCCATTAACTCCCCCCACCACGCCCATCTCGCCATGTGGCTCCGTTCACACCCAGGCTCCGCAGCCCCAGCACCCGGACCGAGCGGTTAGGCCCCTGCAGACGCCAGCCGCAGTTACCCCCAGCACGGCCCACACCCCGAGGACACTGCCCCTGCATGGACAGAGCCCCCCCTTCGTGGTGCCCTGCCCACCCGTCAGTCACTCTGATGCCCCCTACAACACTGAGCACAGGTGAGTTTGGGGGGGAGGGATGTTTAGGGGAATGCAGGGAGGGTCCTTTTTGCGAATGAGGGGAGAGAGCAGGTTCCTGGCATCTCAGTGCCGCTCCTGTGTTCATCCCTTCATTTATTTCATAACGTGAAGATTGAGATGTAGTGAGATGCTGCAGAGTCTCGCCGGTTATGGTGAGGCCTCATGCTGCCTATCGGGGGCGTGGCCTTCCTGACCAGCTCACTCGATAGGATGGAGAAACATCCTATATGCGCGAGAGGCACAGCTTGGGGGTGCAGATTTCACAGCCTGCCTGGGTGGGGTGGGGGGGGGGTTGCAAGCACTGGAACGTGACCCCCGTGGGATTGGCAGCTTGGCACTGGGCCCACCCCTCTGCGGCCGCGTTCCCGCGAGGGTGTCGGCGGCTGCTTGGCATGTTGGCAGGGCTCCGCGGCGGAGCTCAAATCGGCGCTCAGAGAAACTCCTCTGGAGCGGGGAGGCATCTTGCTAGTCTGTGTATGTGGCGCTCTCCCTAGGTTTGTGCGGTGATTTGGGAACTGCACTGGGCTCAAACTCTTCCTGCTTGACGTCGTTCATTAGGTTGTCACTTGTTGGACCTGGTCAGTCTCAATAGGAGAATAATTACATTTCTGAGAATATCCGGTTCCTTGTCTGAAAGCTATTGCCCCTTTTATAATCTGTTTGTAACAGGGCAAAATTCTCCTCCTCTGTGCACTTTGCAGGTTTCACCGGCAGCTCTCAGAACCCTGCCTGCCCTTCTCGCCCTCCGGGGGGCAGAGCCACCCCCGTTTTCTGCCCCATGCGCACAATGGCCTGCCACACGATGGACGGCCCCAGTACCACCGGCAGATGTCGGAGCCCCTCGTGCCCATGGCCCCGCAGGGATTCAAGCATGCCAAGCAGGGTGCCCAGGACCTGCCAGCTGCTTTCCCCTCACCCGCCATTAAGCAGGAGCCCCGGGATTTCTGCTTTGACTCTGGTGAGTGTTGGTGTACCAGTGTTGTTTATTATTTTTTTTCTTTTTCCCCCTTTATCATTCCCAGCTTTATTAAATATTTCAGAATTCCTGCTTACTTTGAAATAGTGCTAAGAAAGACTATTGCAGTAAGTTAGGTGTGTGTGTGTGTGTGTGTGTGTGTGTGTGTGATTAGACTTCCCGTGGCCCTTGAAGGTGCCCGTCCTTATTTGCTTGCCACCCTGACATTTGTCTGTGAGTCTCGCCACCACTCTGTGAAGTTGAGGCCCAAAGAGACTGGCATGCTGGTGGGGGCCACGCCCATAGGTGTCTGGGACAAGGCGCCCCATGCCCGTGGAAAGAAAATCTGAAACACATTGTATTTTTTATTTTTTTTTTGTGTGTGTGGGAAAGTTGACAAATGTCAAATATAGATATAACCAAGTTGTCAATCTCCATTGAAAATAATCAACACCCTGCACATTCCTTCCATTCTTTGTAAAGGAAGGGCTGTAGTGAGATGTTACTATAGAAGCTTCTCTGTTGGGCTGATAGTCGGCGTTGCGGGACAGACTGCAGCATTGTGTGACTGTCCTCTCTTATCCTACAGAAGTGCCTAACTGTCAGTCCCAGTTTGGGAGAGCCGCAAACTTCTACCAAAGCACCTCTGACGGTGGGTAGTCTGTTGAATAGGTTGCCAGTTTAAATCTGTTGTCAGTCTTATTTGCCAAAAAAAAGAAACGTATGTAATGTATCCAGACTATTATTTATACTGTTCATATTCTTTATATTTTAAGTTGCTTGCTTTTGTTTATTTTCTGCCCTTTTTGAATGTCAGATCCTGTTTGTGATTCCTTGGCTTTACTCCTGTGTCTGTGTGCAGGTTTCGCTTTTGACAGAGACTCACAGCTGTACTATGACGACACCTGTGTGGTTCCTGAGAGGTTGGATGGTAAGTGCTGCTTTCCAGACCAGCTGATACTTTGCAGAGCTGCAGCTCCCACAAAAGGGGCAGATATGGAAACTGGAAATGGTTCAGGGAGACCTGTGGAGAGGTACCATGTGTCTCTCCTGCTGTATTTGTTCACTAGAAGCCTTGCAGTGCAATGGTTTCCTATTTAAAGCCTTTGGAAGGGGGGCCAGAGGGGGATGAGTGTTTCTGATGTCATGGGAGTGGAGTTGTGTGAGGCAGGTTTGAGATGAGTGGTCACACCAGTCCAGTCACCTGCTGTTCCCTAGAGCTGTGTTTCCCATTCCAGTCCTCGGGGACCCCAGACAGTCCACATTTTTGCTCTGGGTGCTGGTAGGGAGCAAAAACGTAGACTGTCTGGTAGGGAGCAAAAACGTAGACTGTCTGGGCGTCCCCGAGGACTGGATTGGGAAACGCTGCTGTAGAATGTTGCACCCCAGGGTGTTTCTGCACCGCTGACCGCCATCTCTCGGCACACAGGGAAGGTGAAGCAAGAGCCGACAGTGTATCGCGAGGGGCCCCCCTACCATCGGCGAGGCTCCCTGCAGCTCTGGCAGTTCCTGGTCACCCTGCTGGACGACCCCGCCAACGGCCACTTCATCGCCTGGACGGGCCGCGGCATGGAGTTCAAGCTGATTGAGCCTGAGGAGGTACGCCGCACTCCTGGGTTCTGGATTGGGGTTTGCTGTGACTGTTACTGCGCTGCAAGTGAAGGAGATGTGATAAAGGCACAACCACCTGTGTTTTAGGTTGCCAGACGCTGGGGCATTCAGAAGAACAGGCCGGCCATGAACTATGACAAGCTGAGCCGCTCGCTGCGTTACTACTATGAGAAGGGCATCATGCAGAAGGTGGGGGTGGCTGCTTGAGCGTTGTTGCTATATTTGTCAGTCGCCAGCATTGATTAGCTGCAGGGTCTGATCTTCCTCGCCCTTCCCGCAGGTTGCTGGTGAGAGGTACGTTTACAAGTTCGTGTGCGACCCCGAGGCCCTCTTCTCCATGGCCTTCCCTGACAACCAGAAGCCGAGCTTGAAGGCTGATCCGGACAGCCTGCCCGGAGCAGAGGAGGACACCCTGCCCCTGACACACTATGATGAGAGCGCCTCCTACCAGTCTGATGGAGGAGAGCAGTGTGTTGCAAGAGTTCCGTTCCCCGACAGCTATGTGTACTGACAGTCATCCGACTCCGCCGCCCAGCCCCAGCAACCAGTGTGTCTATACTGCTGACTGAATGGGACATTAACCCCCCCCGCCGCCCCCCTCCCCCACCTCCCCATCTCTTAGCAATGTGTGGATCCAGAAACATGCCATGTGAGGAAGAAGAATCTGGAAAGATGAGGAAGGGGACACACCGTTTGAGGGGGGGATTGCGCTCCAGGGAAACAGGCCATCAGACCCTCAAGACTGTTGGGAGTTTTGTTGCTGGCAGCCAAAATTGTAGCATTTCTGTACTGACAATCTTTTCTAAACGTAAACGCGCATTCTATAATTAAAAGATCAAAACACAGCACTCCTATAGTTGCCTTTTTGGTCCCCCAAGTAATTTTACATTTTTAAGTCTTCATAATGAAAGCTACATGATATGTAAGGGCTTTATATCAAGGGGAAAATATTGACTTTGTACTTGGTCAAACACTAAATTTATGAAAGTTTTATATAACTTCTCGGCTAGGACATTCATGAGATTACCCTGTGGCTCAGGGCAAAGGGCTGCGTCTGACAGGAAACAGCTTTCCTGAGTTGTCGTTCGGCCCGGGCGCACCTTCCGGTAAGAAATACTCAGATGGACTCTACTTGGCTCCACGGGACTGTTAGACAATTCATCAAACAGATCCACACCAGGACACTCCAAGAAGGACAGCTTTTCTGTCTCGAAGTGTTTTTTTTTTTTTTTAATTTAAGCGATTTAAACTCCAAAGGGATGCATATAGCAGGATTCTCCCTTTGCCCCTCTTGAATGCTTGCAATTTACCCTTTTTTTTAAATTGTAGAAGCAACACTACTTTGGCACTGTGCTCCAGTGATTTTCTAAAATGTAATGGGGGTGACGTGGACTCGCATGTCTGGAGGGAAATTTCTGCTCTTGCTCCACCCCTCCACGGGGATCCTTGATGGGAGCCCATCGCTTCCCCTGCATGATGTGCTGATGGGCAACTAACATCGCTTTCTTTTATGAGAAGAAACCGTGACGTTTTCTGCATTTATTTCCTGGGGTTATTTTTGAAGGTAGAAGACACTATATATACACATATATAAATATGCATATATTTTTGCAAAGCCTGCAACTGTTTGATTTGTTCTTCAAGCTGTATAAATCTGCTGTTATATATCATGTAATCTGCAATGGGGTGATTTACTGCAAAGGGATGTCCTTAGAGAGACTCTGAGTTTGTCTAATGTCCCTTGTCCTTTTTCACAACTGGGACACCTGCATATCACCTCTGTCATCACAATGTGTACTTTACACTGCTGCGTTTATAATCTGTTCTGAGTACAATAAACAGTCCTTAATGCTTCTCTTTCTTGCTCTGTTGACAAGATCAGCCGCTTAATTTGTCAGTGACATCTTCAGCTTTATAATAAAACGCCAAAAACTGAGTGTTGAACTCTGCTGCTGTGTCATGGCCGCATCCAAGCTGATTTCAGAGGCAGGCTGCTAAGATGGGAATGTTATCACTTTGTATGAGGCTCAGTCGGTATCTCATTTGCCAAATGTTACACAGTGCTTGATGAGCATTGTTTACTACTTTGTGAACTATGTAAAGAAAAGTATGTTTACCTTCAGGTGGAATTGGTCTTCTAAAATGGCTAGTGTTTATCAAAAATATTTTCCACTGTTTGGTTGTGGTGACAGGAAGCACTTAGAAAGGTTAAGTGTATTGATGTTTGCAAGCTCAGTCATTGCTCTGAGCTGCAGAAGTGGTGGGAATTGACCTAAAATTCTATACAAGTTGAAGTCTGTCAAGCATAGAGTGTAATATGTTGCACATAGAGATTCAGTGTAAACACATGGCATCCAAGACTATTATCACACGGCAGAACTCAGGGAAATTGTCTTCCCATTTTAGTAGCCTGTGTTTAAGTCATTCCACAAATTTGCTAGCTAGAAACTTGTGATTTACATACATATAACGTGGTGTTCTATGGAGTAAATCCAGATTTCTGAATTATATATTTAGGTGTAATATATATGATGCTAGATAATACAAAGTGATGTTTTAAGAAAAAGCAGTGGTTAAGCTGAACAGAACTATCTGTGTGTGTATATAGCTTTGTGTATTTTTTCCAACACTGACTGTACACGAAGCTTTTATGGTATGTCAGCCTGCTAAGGCGGCCGTGAAAGATCCTGGTGCCACAGCAAAGAATCACGGGAGAAGATAGATATGGCTTTGTATCTGATTGCCAAAGCATTAACCATCTGAAGGTGTTGTGAAGAATAGTGTGTGGATTGTGCACGTCTACAGAGTCTTACACTGCCATCTAACACACTATTCACCATCAGCACTACCCAAAACCTTCCTAACACCTACTCAGAATGACCTTACACCTAATGCCGCGCCCCACATCCGATGCCAAAATAAACGTGCGAACGGTGGGAGTAAGGTAATAAAGATAGTTCGTTGTATAATAAAATATAATATAATAACGCAATAAATAATTTGACAACAAACAAATAAATAGAGCGACGATAAAACAAAGAAAATTTAGTACGTCTCTCCTCCTTACTTTTAATTACACGGTATTGAGCCCCTGATAGATTGTTTATTCATTTTGAAATATTCGTCTTCTGGTCCTTCACAATGTTTTCTTATTTTCTTATGTTCCCCACAACGCGCTAACCTAACAGCGTCCTTGACACCGTTCCCCTCCCCTTACATGGCGTGGCTGTTCTGTGCGGCACTGCAGGTAGAGACCGCGAAGAAGGTGACCGCTGCGCGCAGGTGAAAGTTGTTAAAAAGGATTCATTATGTGTACTTTTACATTATAACGACAAAACCACTAGTTTCTTCCATCATTACAAACGCTCAGGTAATTAATGTAGTTTTTAAATGTAGATGATTATGCTACCTAATGACCGGTCGCGGCTGCATAGATAAAGAAAACCGACAGGGGGAGCTAAGCAGCACGGGTCACGACTGTAGGGACCACGATCCCCGACAGGGGGAGCTGCTCGGCAAGTCTCCAGGCGACTGTATGCGGCTGAGGAGACCGAGAAAACCGACAGGGGGAGCTGCGCTCAGCGTCACAGGGGAGACGGGCCAAGACTGTAGAGACCACGATCCCCGACAGGGGGAGCTACGCTGGGCATTGCTGGGCGACCGACACCCACATGACCGTTTTTAACCGTGCATCTTCATCTTAACTTGAAGCGGAAAACCGCCATTAACGAATTAGAATCAGAATTGAATTAGACAGGTACAGTCGTAATGGTTAGGTTTTTATGGTTAAGCTTTATCGGTAATCGGATTGCCCGCTGCTTTATGTTTCGCTAAAATTAAGTATGTTCATTTATATGTACTAATTGAAGCATTGGGTCAGGTTGTAGTAAAACGGCAGCCTCTGCTGCCGCCTGGTCTTGCAGGCCTTGAGGCTGTAGCCATAATCTTGGAAAAATAATAAATAAATGCATACATATATTTGGTTTTATTTTGCAGAAAATATTCTTTAAGTACTCTTAAGTATCGTTCTTGTTTTAAAGCGCAAAAGAGATAGTGGGAAGCCTAGGGAACGATGACCTCAAGGAGTAACAAGTACATTTTGAACATCATATATAATCTAATAATTTTATGTTTTAATTGAATTTTTTATGAAATGTGCATTTTTATGCCTCATGCATATTTCTTCCTTCCTCTGTAAGGTCAAAAACCACTTTTTACCATATGTTTTACTGCCAAAAATGTGGGACCAGATGTCCCATTAATACAGAGAGGTGCCGGAACTGTAAGATAACTATTTTAAAGCCTCAAAAAACAATGTGCCAGTCAGGTATGTTATTTTTATAATATGAATTGCTGAAATAACAAAAACATGAGTAAAACACAAAGACTAGATGCAAAATCAATATCAAACTGTACAATAACATTGCACTACAATCATTAGAATGTATAATATACCTTCTAAAACACTTTTTGTGTTTTTTTTTTTAAATAATGTAGCCTGCACGGAGGAGCTGGATCTCTTTAATGCCAACAGGCACAGATTGGGTGTCCCTGGTGACTTCAGAAGAGGACAGGTCTATGAGGACCAGTTGGAGGACCATGTGAGTGACCTGCAGGATGGTTTCGAGTCAGCCTGCAGCAGCATTCATGTTGCAGAAGCTCCCACTTTGCAGCGAGGAGCACTAGGATCTCAGCAGATACATCAGCAGAAAAATGAGAAGTTTCACATTAAGAGTACCTCAGTTTACAAAGACCTTGCTGTCCAGACAAACTTGTCCTTTGATTTGGAGCTGGAGGTGTGTGCTGAGAAGCACCACAGTGTGTCGCATGAGAAAACTGCAGAGGTAATTGGGCTGGAGTTGGAGAGCCTTCCAGAATCTTGCAGTTCCAACAGCACAGGATTTGACTGCATATCCAAGTCTGAACAAGTAATGGCACTAGGTAGTGAGTTTCTGGATGTTGCATTGGCGGAGAATAGTTGTTTTTGTACTCCTGCGGGTGTTTCAGATGAAAATGATTCTGCGTTCTGTACAAAGAGTGATCTTTTGGATAGAGGAGATGATTGGAGTTGTCACCAAAGCAGCTTTGAGTATCACAGTGTATGTGAAGAGGATCCCACTCTTCAGGGATTGAGTGCTACAATGTTTCATCCATGTGGACTTGTCAGAAAAGGTGATCGTAAAGACAACATTCATACACTAATGCAAGATCAAGACAAGTTGCAGCAGTCAAGCTGCTCACATGAAGAGGAGAGTGATCTACGTAAGAACTGTACAGAAAAACCCAACCCATCTATATGTGAAGATTCTTTTCTATCTGCACTGGAAGAGGAGGGCAGCAGTGAACTCATTTCATGTGAGCGATGTCTGGCTTTGTGCGCCAGGGTCACAGAGAGTCAGTCAGGGGATGCTGGTCAGGATTTCACTGTCAGCTTCATGGTGAGCAGGTCCACCAGCACGGAACCCAAAGGTACACAGTGTGATATTGCTCTCAATACAGACCCCTTCTTACTTGGCTCCAAACGAGACCAGGACATCCAGAAGCTGCCAGTCCCCACAGCTGAGAAGTTTGTAAACACTGATGTCTACATGAAAGATCTAGATTACATCACAGAGGTAATTTAATTCATTTGGAAAAACTAAGGAAATTACTTGTACTCATTATGTAGAAACCACAAAGCTGATTTATTTGCTTATTAATGTGAATAGAGAGCACTAGACCTCACTGAAAGGATACTCTCTTAAAGGACCTGCAGGGTCCTAACAGGTGTTCTGGAGAGACCAGTTGGCAGATCCCAGCTATTTTATGTAGCCTTGGCAGTGCATAATCAGCCATTCAAAAAGGATTGTGCTTTAACAGGAGCTCAGCTGGGGGCTACGTATATCTGATTGGGGGCTACGTATATCTGATTGGGGGCTACATATACCTGATTGGGGGCTACGTATACCTGATTGGGGGCTACGTATACCTGATTGGGGGCTACGTATACCTGATTGGGGGCTGCGTATATCTGATTTTTGCTGCAGAATGTTATGTGTGCGGGGAGGGCTCCTCTGTGGGAGTAGGATACAACTTTGTGTTTAATTTAAATTATTTTTAAATAATACAAAGAGCAACTGTCTTTTTTTGCAGGAATTTAACAAATTAAGACTGGCACAAGCAGAACTGAAGCAACTGAAAGAGAATTTAGCAAGGTAATCTGGATTTATTCAACATTTGTAAATTAGCAGTCATTTGGCAGCTTTGTTGTTCAGATCATTGAGTGACTCTTGGTGATGTACAGGCTCAGTGAGTCACCAGCCGTGTCTAGAGTTGTGGGTTAAAGCTCAGTTTTTATGAACATGTTTTTTTTGTATTCCTATGGAATTTCCCTGGGTAGTCCTGTTTTCCTCCTCGGTCTAGATCATGTTTACTGTAGATGTGAAGTGCTGTGAGTATGTGAGTGTCCTGTGAGTGTTTGACCCTGACTGAAGGGCATAGGCTAAGTGACTGAAAGTTTTTCATTATGGAATCGTTTCATTTTTGTGAGAAACACAGCTGCCTCCAGCATGTAGCTGTGGAACCACTTAATATGGCTTCTGAATATTCTCCTTTCTTAAAGCCCTGCTTGGGATGAGCATCGTTTGTGCTGTGGCGCTGCCCAGAGAGCACTGCATGCTGAGCTGCGCCTCTTGGCTCTACAGCATGCAATGTGCCAGCAACACTGCTGGAGGCGCTATTGCACTTCGCCTGAAGGCAGCCTCCTCCTGCTGGGGTGAGGTTCAGCTCGCAGGTTCAATGGGAATGTGTTGGTTTGGTTTCATTTAACTAAATCTGACTTGTAATGGATGTGAAATGTGTTACCCTTTTAGGAAAAGAGAAATCCCAGAGAGCTTGATGCAAGTTCTCCAGAATCTAGAAAATGACTACCAAGAAATGAGGAGGAAGGTCCTTTCTGGCGTGCCTCTGGACCAGCTCCGCCCCCTGTCTGTGGACTGCCGGAGGATCGCCTCTAAGGGGCGCTACATCCCAGCAGAGGTGAGCGGTAGCTCCAGGCTCAGAAATCTGTTGCTACTTAATTTTCCTCTAATATCATATCACAACAAGTATGGAACAGCCTTAAAAACCCTTAAGTGGAATATTAAAATATTTCCTATCCATACATCCATCCATCCATCTTCTAACTGCTTGTCCTGTAGGTATCCCAGGCAGCAGGGGGAACAAGGGGAACAGCTTGGATAGACTGGTCAGAGACACACACAGACACAAACACAGAATCACTGAGTATGTTTAGAAATACCAGTTCACCTAATTGCATGTTTTTGGACTGAGTGAGGAAACCATGGTAGTCAGAGGAATTCTGAGCAAAACGGGGAGAGCATGAAAAGTCCAGCATAACCAGGGAGCAAAATGGGGAGAACATGAACAGTCCAGCATAACCAGGGAGCAGAATGGGGAGAGCATGAACAGTCCAGCATAACCAGGGAGCAAAATGGGGAGAACATGAACAGTCCAGCATAACCGGGGAGCAAAACGGGGAGAACATGAACAGTCCAGCATAACCAGGGAGCAAAACGGGGAGAACATGAACAGTCCAGCATAACCGGGGAGCAGATTGGGGAGAACATGAACAGTCCAGCATAACCGGGGAGCAAAACGGGGAGAACATGAACAGTCCAGCATAACCGGGGAGCAAAACGGGGAGAACATGAACACATCGCATGTTCCTTAATAGCCATTAAGGAACGTTTCAGAACAAAATGAATGCTTCTCGACCAGTCAACCCTGTCTCTTCACCAAGAGAGACATTTCCTGGGTTTTTGTAGATACGTCATTTATGTTGGTTGACTTGTGAACAAAGCATCATTCCAAGTAAACACATATCCTGTGTCTTAAACCTCATTTATGGGGAGTGTATTATGATTCTCCGCTCTGCTTATGTCTTATTTTTCTAGATAGCCAAGATTGTGTTAGAAGACAGACAGGGGTATGGACACCTCGCACTCTTTGCTCTCTGTGATGTGAAGGTCACCTCCACCTCACTTTGACAGACTTGCGCTATTCCCTTGCCAGCTTTCTGCACTGCACAATACCTACTCTGGAATCCAGCCCCATCTGACCTACCTAATGCAGTCCTTTGCTTTCTGCAGCAGCGTTCAGTCGCAGAATTCCCAGCTGACTGTACACAGTGACTCCTGCACAGGCAGAAGGGACACTCCAGCCCTCCAGGTATGACACATTATTCTCCTGCAGAAGAACACTTTGACAGTCTGATTGTTTTTGCTTGTTTTGCATCTAGCAGCAAGTTCCAAAGGAAAGGCCAGCAGAAATAAATACAGAGCCAGGTAATAACCAGTTTGAAGGGTCGACTGCATGCATTGTGCAGGGTGGGGTCACACATGGACCCCCTCTAGGTAAGAAGGTTTGCAACTGGATCTTGCTCATATTTAACGTAAAAAGGAAGTCTTTTTCTAAGTAGCATATTATTATGGCAATACTGAGTTGCAGTAGAGTATACAGCTTCTGCTGGGGATATTTGCTCTCGAATGGGTCTGTAAGTTGGCTGGTTTTGTGCAGAGGCTTGGTACGATGCAGAAGAGGACCTTGAAAGCATCAGGATGGAGGCTCACCAAAAAGTGGATGACGGTGATCTTAAGATCCCCGAAGAAGATACGATGGGTAAAATACCGCAGTGCATCTCTGACCGCACTGTAAATGTGACTAAAGAGCTTTTAATTTGCTCTCGTATTCACTTCCAGGATGTTGTGATAAGACGGAAACTGATGAGGATGTCCTCCTGTATGTCTCGGAACTCCCTAGTAATGTAACTGAGGTAATATAGGGATGATGCATGTCCTTTTAGGTGCATGTAGGAGCCAGGAGAACCCATCTAAGCTTGAGGTAGCAGCATCACAGTGAATATTTCATATTCTCTGCAGGAGGACGTGACAGTCTGGTTTAGAAAGTATCAGGTATCTAATGTCCAGATGGCACCGTTCAGGAGCAAACTGAGGTACAGTCGTTCTATAGGCTAACTATTCTACAGTTGAGGTTTGGAACCTCTCATACATCAGAGGCCACCAAATGAAAACAGAGCAGAGCTAGGGACCCCCTACCACTAAAGTGTGAAAAGCCCTGTTCAACAGGAATTGTGGGTTTAGCCTTTTTTTAAAGAATCACAAGCTTGCAGGCTGGGAGGTTAATTGAATTTTAATTTCAGTTACGATTTTGGCTTCCAATGATTATCAAAACAAAATAATCAAGATAAAACAATTATTATGCCGCATTTCATTTTGCAATGATGCTCCCGTCTGGTGTTATAAATCCACCGCACCCCTTTCCAGCCCCTTTTTATTTCTTTCTTAGTTGAACTATATTTAGATTTCAAGGAAATCCACTGTTAAAAAAGTAAGTTTTTAAAGAATTCAATACATGAATGATATTTAGAGTTGTGTTAACTAATTGTAATTTCAGTATTGACCAAAATAATTTAAAAATTGCCATAATCCAGCAGCCCTACTTTCCATGTTCACCGACACCCATTTGTTTTCAAAGTGAAAATTGACCTTCAGATGAAGCCATAGGTCAGAACATATATGGCTTGTTCCTTAGAGCTCTGCAGACATAGGAAATCTCAAAGTTGCCATGCATCTGTCTGCATTTTTTGGTTACTTTCTTTTTGAGTTCATGGAAGCACTTCTCCTGATAAGCAGTAAAATGTCGTCAGAGAAGTGGTGGATGGCACAGTGCATGAGTATTAATGTGTTCTGGACCTTGCCTAGGGCGGCCGTTGTGACAGTTGGTTGTCTCAGGAGTGCCAACAGAGCGATCAAGGACCTGAACGGTCACACCATCCAGGGGTACACAATCAAGGTGGACCACCTAGGCACAATGCTTTCAGCTGCATCAGTCCACAAGGGGCAGTTCTCCAAGTCACATTCCTGCCAGAATGACAAAGTGAGGTCTGTCTGTAACACACAGGCCTCAAAGGATAGAGTACCTATCACCAAGGTGGGTAAATCCCTTCTGCAACTGATCTTCAGTTTTTACTGGATCATCACCATATGTTTAATGAAAACAGAACGAGCTCCTTCTTTCTGATTGTATTCCATCTGTGCTTTGGATGGTACATTTGCATAACCTTTCAGGATTGCAGACTTTCACTAGACCTCTGGTATACGGTTGGTGTAAAGTCTGATGCAAATTGGTGTAAAAGCTGGAGCAATGGGTGACATAAAGGCTGACAGAAAGTCTGCAACATCTGCCCAAAAGGCTGCTGCATGGGCTGGTGTACAGATGCTGTGTAGACTGGTGTAAATGCTGCTGTATGGCTGCTGGATAAGTGGGTGTAACACTGGTGTAAAGGCTGCTGGATAGGCTGGGGTAACGCTGGTGTAAAGGCTGCTGGATAGGCTGGGGTAACGCTGGTGTAAAGGCTGCTGTATGACTGCTGGATAGGTGGGTGTAACGCTGGTGTAAAGGCTGCTGGATAGGCTGGGGTAACGCTGGTGTAAAGGCTGCTGGATAGGCTGGGGTAACGCCTGTGTAAAGGCTGCTGGATAGGCTGGGGTAACGCTGGTGTAAAGGCTGCTGGATAGGCTGGGGTAACGCTGGTGTAAAGGCTGTCATTCACAGCATGTCATTCACAGCATGTCCAGTGTGGTTTGGAGAAGCTGATGAATATCAAGGAATCAGCCACGTCTCCAGAAACACTCACGCATCAGCAGCGCACCACCACGAGCAGCTTCGACACCATAATGGCCAAACTTTCGGAGCGACACCCTGAAGCGAGCCGGCAAAGAATCGTGGACAGCCTACTAGAGCTACAAGCGAATCACCAGGGCTTCCTCAGTGGCCTACCCTTAAAGGCTGTCGTGGAGATGACATCAGCTCTTCTAAAGCACCCTCCTCTGGCCATCAAAGAAAGGTTAATTTTCAGCACTCAGATTGACTTAGAACCGTACACTGTACATGTGTGTAGTGAAATATCCCTCAGGTCAGTCTATCACATATGCAGTATTCCCAGCAGTCATATTGTTCTCCTACTAACAACCTGTTTGCTATTTAGTAACATACTTATATTTTATTAAGAACAGACATTTCCTAGGGAGCATGTCTCTATATCACTGTAGTCAAAAAACTTTTGTCCTTTCAGGTTCCAAAAAGAAGACGCCAATAACATAAATGGAAATTAAAATACAAAGCATTTTTAATGCTTATTGTATTTTGGTGTATTGTTAATTATAATACTGTTCTTAAAGCCAGAGTTTAAATGTTTAGGATTAATCTTTTGCATTTATTTAATAAGCCACAACTGTTGATTTTAGTACTATCTGTATCTTTTTTTCTTGTTTTGTCACATTAAAATAAGGTCTGGAAAACTGGATTAGTTTATATAGATGACAAGGTTTCTGGTTTTGTTAAGGTACTGAAAATGTTACATGTTGAATAAGAAAAAGCTGTAAACGTTTTTCAATAAAAGTCAAAATCTGTACACTGCAGGAAGTTCCTTTCGGTACAGACAATGTGTATAACAATATCAGTACACATTAATCTGTATTATTACATTTTCACTTGTATTTCATAACTGGTCATGTAGTCCACTAGGTAAGTTCGAGTTACCTTGAATAGGATGTCAGTCCGTAAGAGGAATTTAAAGTTATCAATTACATAAACCGCAAATGATTGAACTACGGGAGGTGAATATGCAAAGTATACACAGCAGCAGACCAACTGCGCCACCACCCGAAGGAAACTGATATAGCATCATTGTAGGTCCGATGTTGAATAACAATGCTAACGAGCTAAAATTCTACTAAATTTAACAGATCAGGAGCATATAAAAAGGTTTTCAGATATGATCATTCCTATTTGTCGCATAATTATTAATGTTGCCTTAAAACAGTGGTCACCCCCGGATTCCAGACCGTGCTGTACGTCGTCTCCCCCGATAGACAAATTGTAGTTGGGGGATGCCCACGGCCGGCAGTTTTTTACTGATGCAGTGGACCATGGCTTTGTGTTGCTGATGGAACTTCACCTTTGGAGAAAAAGTAGTTGGGGACCCCTGCCCTAAAATACACGACATCATTATGTTCAGATTGTAAAAGAAGTAATGTGCATGCAGGTGGTATTTGGTTAGTTTTATGTACACCCTTCTGGCAGTGCTGCCATCTCGCACACTACGAGGAGTAGAAGTTGTCCGACTTGGCTGCAGTCAGTTAATACTCCACCCCTGGACGCTCCACGTCACGTCAGCTGCAGACAGACCTAAGCCCAAGTCGAACACACCCAATAATATGCAGTAAAACCGGCAACGGGAAGTATTTGACATTTGTTTTCATTTTATTTCAGTTCAGTTTCCGAAGCAATATTTATAGTTCTTGTTTAATTGATTCTTTTTCGTATCTTATTTAAGTTTTTGTTTTTGTTACAAATAATATCATTGCCTTGCGTATTGTAAGTAGCCTAATGCACAGTTAGTCTTAGTAAAATATGTATTATTTTTGTAACATCCATACCATTTTAAGAGCAGCTTTGCTGTACAGCGCCACCACAGGGCTGGCGTGAAATTACGTGGTTGCGTGGCACGTTGGCGCTATAACTACGTTCAGGATCGCGCCAATTAAACCGCGAAGCTCTTCTACCTGTTGATCAGAGGGCCCGTGAAGCTGTGCGGATTCATTTCTACGACGGATTATGGCTGTTTGTAACCTTCAGCATTTCATCTTGCACTGAGAAACATTGTAGCTATAAAGTTAGCCGATATATATATAGTTGTGCGCAATATTGTGTGTGACTCCTTACTTTTCCAGAACATGTGGCATCCGTATTATAACATCCCTTTTCTGACCACATTGCCCCTTCATTTGGAGAACGGCGCCGAGATGTCCAGACACGCTGCTGGAGCTCTGCAGTGGCCCCCGTCCGTCCACGTGAATCAGACAGTGGCAGCGTGGAGAGGCTTTCCTGGTAAGGAACTCGTTTGGGGCCTGTATCACGAAGCCGGTGTTCTGTCGATATATGCTGCCATGTCGAAAAATGCTACCGTAGTGCTAATAGATAGCCCTAACCCTAACTCTTACCCTAACCCTAACCCCCCTAAAACCCTTACCTTAACCCTAACCCCTAAAATTTAACCCTAATCCCAAAACGGTGGAACTGCACATGCGCAGAAAGGCTCGATAGCACGTCTCGATAGGTAGTATTTTTCGACAGAACACCTGCTTTCTTGCTTAGCCGGATAATTTGTCGGATTTAAGGGAGTATCGTAAATGTGAGTGAACGAAGATAAAGATAACTTAAGACACCCCAGTTTAAATTATCTGGCTAAGCAAGAAATCCTACATTCTGATACGGCCCCTGGTGAATTAACAGAAAAGAGCTGCCTTTGACTGTGTGTGTGCGTGTGTGTATGTATATAATATATATATAATATAATCTGACATTTTAAGGTATATTTAAAACAACATCCAAGTACAGTATGGTGACCTCATTGATGGCATACAGTGACTGAAGGGCCTGTGTAATGTGCATATAAAACATGTAATTTATTGTAATTTACCTTAGATTTCATATGGTTTTTAAATGATATATATATTTGGAGAAAATAAACTTCTGCTATATTTCAGCTTTTCCCAAAGCAACCCAATCTACTAATGAAGCCAAGGTGTTTCTCATCCACAGGTAACTCTGTTCATCTTTCACAAGCCTTTTTGCCTGAGGTGTATCATGAACCTCAACCCCACTTTTTTATGTTAGGATCCATGCTGTAATTATAGAGCAGTGGTATCCAGCAGTTTTTACAGCGATAGCTACTATAAAGAAAATAATCTGGTGGGATATTGAGTCATGATGGTATATTTTCCAGCCAGCGGAGGTCCACCCTAGGAGTTAATTTGCTCTTTGTGAAGGTGACGGTACAGTAACAATCGACTGGGAATGTTTTAGAGATCAGCCTGTCAATGGTGATCGACCGGGTGGCAACTCTTATTTTACAGTTTCTTCTATGGTGAGTGAGAAGTTGTGCTGCACTGTATGATGCATCAACATCTTTTTCAGGTCTCTCTATGACTTGATAAAAGGTCCAATAATGCTGGAAATGATTGACCAGAAATTGCTGAACTGGTACTTGTCTCTTCCAGTTGAAGACCGACACCTCATAAAGGGTAACAGCCATAGGTTTTCTTCTGCTTAGTGTTTTGCCTATTAATTTATTTTGTCGGGTTTGTCTTTATATTGTGTTCGTTGGAACAGACAGCCAATCTAATTTTTTACCAGTTAAACATGTTTATCACAATGGTCCACCTCGCCAATGATTTATTCCTGCAGAAGAAGGAGGTCTACGTGTTTTTCTTCAGAAACACCCAGCGCTTGGTGTAACGGGAGATGTAGTCTATATAAAAGGTGAGTTTTGGCCCCAATAGCATTTTTATACAATAGCCATAATATGCATATTACACATGGTAAGAATAACCTGTTTCTGCGCCTTGCAGAGGAAATCAGAGGAGTGCACAGAGCAGAAGAAACTCCAGCCTTGCCTGAGTACATATTCATCCATTTTTCCCCAAAGATGTTTGTTTTTGTACTGTTTCCAGAATGTTTTCTTTTTTCAACCAATATAACAAAAAGCTTTGTGGCTAAAAGGAAGTGGTGGCTTTGAGGCTAGGGATCTGTGCCAGCAATCAGAAGGTTGCTGGTTCAAATCCCATGAATACCGGAGTGATTTAACACTCTTGGGCCCTAAGCCTGCCATTGCTTAATCCTGGGTATGACGTTAGGGTTACATCTACATCCAGCCCTGTAAGGAGGTCGTCCAGCTTACAGGGTAAACTTGGGCTTGGTGGCAGGATTGGCGCTCCAGCCGCCGGAAAAAAAACCTCACACTGGTCCATTTGGACTAGTATGGTGCTGAGGTATCGTCCTCATCCCTGAGGTGGTTTGTCATGCGGTGGGTGCAGCAACGCCCTGTAATCAGTGCATGCTCCTTACACACTGTAATCAGTGCATGCTCCTTACACACTGTAATCACTGCATGCTCCTTACCTCACCTCATTTGTGGTCATATTTTGTGAGTAAAGGATACTGGCTGTACATGGTATGCCTCTGATAACATGCAGTGGCCAGTGGCTGCCGTCATTTCACCGCCTGTTTCCTCCCCCTCCTTTAGATCTTCTCACTGCAGATCTTCTCAGTGCTGCTGGTGCTATACACCAAGTGCTTCCTCTGCTGCCAGGATGTGCAGTCAGTCCTGCAAAGCCAGGGCGGGTCCGCAGGAGGCTTTTCTGTCAGGTGTGTGTCCTCCTCTCAGATCATTAACTCGGCAAAGACGTTTGATCGGAAAAAGTGTGATTATGTCCATCTGTAAAAGATACTCAAAAGAGAGCCAATCTGTAAAATGTTTGAGAAGTACGGTTTCTCATTTATTTGAAATGCTGCAGTTTATTGTCTGTGTAATTTTTGAGGACAGACGCTCCCCAGGTTATGATGGTTACTTTCTGAAAGGTTTATCGTAAGGCGAAAATGCATTTTAATACAGTAAAACTAACCTAACAAACAGCTTAGCCTGGCCTACCTTAATCATGCTTAGAACACTTACATTAGCCTACAGTCAGGCAAAATCATTAACACAACGCCTGTTTTATAATAAAGTGCTGGATCTCTCAAGTAATTTAATTGAAAAATCATACCCATCATGACACGAACCATTGTAAGCTGGGGAGTGTCTGTATCTGTAAATGGCATCTCTGAATATGACTCCTAACTTAATATTTAAATGGGTACCTAGTTCACAATAAATTAACTTTTAAACACTGAAGTGAATGTATCACCTACGCTCAATAATTATCAAGCTTCTTCCTGCCCGTGAACATTTCAGAAGTAACAAAGTGCTGTAATACTGAATTTCAACGATGGCTGCTCATAAGCTTGGTATAAAGATGTATTGTCATTTCCAACAGTGGAAGAAAAGAAGCTGGTCCTACTTCCAAACGCCTTTGAAAAGGAGCTAAATCTCTGCGGCTCGGATGAGAGCGTGATGAATGGAGCAGGAAAGGCCACCAGTCAGCAAGTCAGTACTCCCCTGTCTGCGGACTGCATTGTAGCTCAGTGGGATAGCTGTCAGTACGCTTGTAAGAGCTGTCACATTATAAAAACTCATCCAGTGCGACAAAAGGTTCCTAGGTCTCAGACTCTGCAGCCATCTGATCAGGTAAGCGTCTCCCATGTGCTGGAATCAAAGGGGAAATATCAGTAGAGGAGATTTCAATAGCGATGACTTTTGCTGCAGATTCATGCGGTATAGTGATATTCAGTTAACTATCCTTAAGCCAATCGGTTCTAGTTGGTTTACTGCATCTGTTCTGATAAGTGTCTTTCTGGTGATTTGTAGTGTGACTACAGTTCTACTAAGTGGATGGATGTTGAGCATCGAGGAACTGTCCAAAGTGGAAATGACCCAAAAAAGCAGTATCCCGGTGTTATTAAAGAGCAGTCTTTTGCTCATGGTGCTGCGGAGGTGTTCCAGTGGATCCCGGAGCAGAAAGGTCATCCTGAGAACATGGAAGACCTGATGCATCTGCAAGATCCTGATTTTGGTGCGGTGGAAGAGGCTGGATTCGGTCAAAAATTTACAGAAGGAGCCAGTCAGTCTGCATGTGAAGGTTGTTTTCCCTGGACTGTCCAGGACAAGGCAAGAAGCAGCGGGCCTGTAACATCCCAGCGATTCCAGGCTGTGGATGGCAAGGTGGCAATGAACCAGTCTGAAGGAATTAATGGTGACCTCAGGGGCAATGTCATGTCATCAAGTGACAGGCAGAGTACGAGAGTGAAGAAAATCTGCAGCCTGGAACGCCAGATTGTACTGTGCGATGCCGTTGTCAGCACAGACCTCTCCACAATGGACCAGGATGTCCAGACGCTGGCAGTGTCTACAGCTGAGAAATCCACCATCACAGATGTCTATATGGCTGACCTGGACTATTTCAAACAGGTTACTCTTTTAATTCAGTATTCAGAGCATCACTAGATTGTTTATTATTACACAGATACTTGTCATGCATGGAAGTTTATGTACTGCTGCCCAACCATATTATTCCTCTGCAAAGTTTTGGACAGATTCTACTTGGTGAGGCTGCCTTTTCACATCTTAGATCACACTGACGATTTGTGACCGGCTTGTGATGGTTTGTCTTACCCTGATCTCAGGCCAACGTATGGGCGTCATGGTCAAAGCATTGATGGCGTTTACCATTATCACAATGACGTTTTTTAAGTCTATAGCAGTGTTTCCCAGTCCAGTCCTTGGGGACCCACAGACAGTCAACATGCAAAAACGTGGACCGTCTGGCAGGGAGCACGGAGAGAGCAAAAACGTGGACTGGCTGTTGGTTCCCAAGGACTGGATTTGGCCACACTGCTGTATAGTTCCTGTCAAGCATGTTCCAGGTGATGCTTCCCTTCTCTGAGTTACTGACAGTGTTGGGCAAGTTACTTCAAAACTCTAATGCACTATTTATTACTTGTTACTATAATTTCAAAGTAATTTGTTACATTACAATATTCCTGTATTTAAAATGTAAGGCATTACACTACTATTGCATTACTTTTAAGTTTTTCTCACCAAAATAACTGGAAATATGGATTTGGAAATCTATGCTCATCTTGCTCATGACGCTCAATTAGCTCATTACACAGCCAGTGGAAGGTGATGTGGTATCTAACTGAGCTATAGGCCTATGGTTAAAAACAGTAGAATATAATAGCCACAGCGATGGCTCATGGCGCAATACAAGGAACAATCATCACAACAACAGACAAAAGGTCAAAGTCTGGCAAATTGTGATAGAAATACTGTATCTTTAGGCCTAGTCATATTAGCATTAATTGAACTGTATTGTAATGTCTAAAGATATGACAGGATGCAAAATTAGCATTTCTATGCCTTTACAGTCATCCCTCGCGCTTCGACTTTCGCGGCTTCACTCTATCGCGGTTTTTTTTGTCTATTGATTAAAAAGTTGATCGAGACAATGAAAATGATACATCGCTACGCATCGAAAGCATCTTTGCTCTTCGTAATTAAATGTACAATAATAACAATATATTTATAACATCTAATATTTCTACTTTAATATTTTGGGTAATACGAGTGTAATTGTCATGACCTGCCTGTCCGATCCTCTTATGTGCCACGCCCCCTTATTAACCACATATGCAACCCAGCTGTTTTCTGTCAATTTGATTCAGTTTTACTATCCGACGTTAGATCAGTTGCAGGTTCACTCATCTCTCTGTTCTGTCTGACTACAAGAAGTGAAACGTTTTGCACGGACATTTCTCCTCTGCTGATCTCTCGGTGATTTTGGCGAATTTGTATGAAGAAGAAAAAACCATCACTTCATTCCGGGTTAAAAATGCATTGTAATGCACGTTACTGACATTTATACCGAGTAAAATATTACCAATTTTTTTTCTGTAATGCCTTACATTACCTCGTTACAGCAAAAAGCAATGCATTACAGTAATCCGTTACTTTTGTAACGCGTTACTCCCAACACTGGTTACTGATACTACTCCTAGCTGTAGCCAGATCTTCAGAATGGTGAGACAGTTTCGCTTAAGGCCCGCAGCTGAGTGGTAGCAGCTGCCTTATTATACAGTGTATTTATCATCTATTCAATTGCTAATTTGTTGGTTCCTTGTCTGCTTTTGTTGTTTCCTAATTTGTTTAATTAGGAATTCATCAGATTAAAGCTTGTTGAAGCAGAAGTGGGGACACTGAAAGATAAATTGAAAAGGTAAAGTGCTTTCTCACACAATATTCTAGTCCAGTTTCCCAATCCGGTCCTCAGGGACCCACAGCCAGTCCACATTTTTGCTCCCTCCCAGCTGTCGTGAACTGTCCGTAGGTGCCCGAGAACTGAATTGGGAAATACTGTTCTAGACATTTTTAAGTCTTTTCTTGGAAATGTTAGTCACTTTTGATTGCCTCTTTGTGTGTGAACCCACATTCAGTGGCTTGATGCATACCTGTTCTTTTCTGTCAGCTTCGAAGGGAAGGAGCGTAGTAGCCACCAGAGGGCAGTGCAGGCCGAACTGAGCCTCTTGGCCCTGCAGCATGCGATGTGTCAGCAGTACTGCTGGGGGCGCTATTGCACTTCACTGGAAGGCAGCCGCTTTCTTCTGGGGTGAGGTTTGGCTTGCAAGTTTAATAGGAATGTGTTGATGTCTTTTTCTTCGCTTTGTCTTTCTGGGTCTCTGTATCAGTGTAAATTTCATCACCTTTTTAGAAAAAATGTTATGCCGGAGAGCATGATTGAAGTTCTTCAGATCCTAGCGGACAACTACCAAGAAATGAGGAAGAACATCCTATCTGGAGTGCCCCTGGACCAACTCCGCCCTTTGTCCGTGGACTGTCAGAAGATCGCCTCTGAGGGGTGCTATATCCCCACGGAGGTGAGCTGTAGCTGCAGACTCTTGTCAGTAGAAACCAGCTGTGTCTATCTGACCATCACAGACACAATGCCCATCTGTTAAATGTTGGCATGAATGAGGAACAGACAGGAGCCACAGCAGCTTAAGAGAAAATAAGAAAGTAAACAGGATCTGCTGGAGAATAGTGATGGATGTCATTTTAACAATGAAATTATTATCCACGTTCTGGAGCAAGTGTGAGTTGTTGAATATGTGATGTTTATACCTGCTTGTATTTTGTCCTAGGGAATCAAGTCTGTTCCTGAAAACGAATCATGGTATGGATTTTTGTTCAGCGCTGCTTATTACGGGAGAATGGCTATACTACCAAATCCCCTACCTCCTATTCCTGACCAAGTGCTTTGTTCTTACCAGCTTCTGTGAAGAGTCCATGTTGACTGAAAGCTCTGGGGGTCTTGAGTGCAGGATCAACACCTCCCTGAAGGTAAGGCATCCTCGCTTAGAGACGGTACAGTCCAATGTGAGTACAGTCTTCTGTGCTCTCGCTCTCTTTCTGGCAGGAAGGACTAAATGAAAAAACGGAGGCATTCACCCATCAAGATAGTAACCTATTTGGGAAGAATCTTGCTTTGCCGATTAGGACTACAGGTGCACCAGAACCAGGTAACAAGGTTTCCAAAATGATGATGTGTGTGGATGCTGCAGTCATTCTTTAGATTATATATTCTATTCTGATATACAGAAATACCATATAAAGTCTGATAGTCCTATTATTTGGTCGTCTTTGACTAGAATCTTTTGTGTAAAGAATCTAGCACAAATCAATCCAGACAGGAGGGAGAGAAGAGCCACAGCTCAGCAGCTGCAAAGGATAGTGAGATCCAGGGGGAAGGTAACACGAGCAGAACATCACGCAGCCCTCAGCTGACACACTGTGCATGTCAACAGACATATCATTTGGTCCCTTATTCACTTCTAGGATTTTTTCATGAGGAGAAAATGGATCAGTACTTCCTGGGTGTCAAAGACCTCCCTAATGACTCAACTGAGGTGATGTGGAACCAATACATTTCTAATAAAATACTGAAATGCAAAAGATTTTAAAACATGTAACCTGCAGGTGGCAGCATTACCATGTGAATTTATCTTTTTCTAGAATAATGTTGACCAGTTTGGAAAATATCAGCCATCCGGTGTTAAAACAGCAATTTTCTTCAAGAATGTCAGGTACAGTTTAATAATGATAATTAATAATGTTTCATTTATATAGCGCCTTTCCAGAGCTCATGGTCACTTTACAGTATTTGACAAAACAAACCCGTTGTGCAAAATGAGTTTAGGTCGGTTGTACAGAGAGTGTGAGAACTGTTGTCACGCCCCGATCGTCCGCTCCTCCTGTGTGCCACGCCCCCTCGTTAACCCTGTGTGGATTCCCAGTGTTTTACGGCTGTTTCTAATTGTTGTCATTAGTTCATTGTATTTAGTCCGCGTTTCCGTTCGTTTCCCTAGTCTGGTCATTATATTGTCATTCTGTTATTGCCTGCCTTTCCTTTGATAAAACCCCATGTTCCTCGATCCCTGGCTTCCTGCGCGTTTGTCTGCGCTCCCGGCGCTTACATTGTGACATGTTGCCTGCAGGGAAGCGCTAGATAAAAACTAAACTGCAGCAGTGGATCACGCAGCTTCTGAGGTGTTGCGTTACCACAGTTCAGAATTATTTTTAGACCGTATGCTCGGCTTTCAGGGGGCATAGGAAGCCAATACAACCGTAATCTGCAGATGAAACTTACATTTCTGTGAATTTCAGAACCCAGAGCATGGCTTCAGACTCTTTTCCAGAGGTAGCACTGGTTCTACCAGCTTTCCCAGTTGGTTACACCGGCAGTTGATTCAGTCATCAATCAATTACCTTGCAATAGTTGTCCTAATTTGCATATCCTGGTTTCTGTATTGATGAAAGACTGACAATGACTCAAGACTTGATATTCCCCCTTCAGTTAGTGAGGGTTAGGGAACTACTGCCTGTGCAGTAGCAAAACCACCTAACGATTTTCATACACTGGCACAGATGCGACCAAGTTTAATTTTAAATCCCACACTTTCAAAAAAAGGTTGCCTATGCGACCATTTTGGTTAAAATCTAGAGCACTGCAAAGAAGACCACAGATTTAAAGTGAACAGTGCCTGTTCTATTCTTGGTAATTGCTTAACGAAATGTATGCATGTACCTTCTGTAAGGACGGCCACTGTATCAGTCCTGGCTCCCAGTGCTCCTGAAAGAGCAGTTGAAGACCTGAACAGTCATGTGGTTAAGGGACAACCCATCGAGGGCAAGAAGATCCCCGATGGTACAGGGATAGGCCTGCAGAAACAAGCATGCAGTTCAAAGTCCTGCAGATCTGTATGCGACACACCTGCTGTTATGGCTAAGGTGAGTAAAGTGTGTGTGTGTGTACAAGTGCCATTCATTTTGACCCCATTGAAAGCCCTTGGTCTATGGAGTGTCTTCAGGCATTGCTAGTTGCCTTGACAAGCCTGCTGTGCTTCAGGGTCTTCCACAGCCCCTGGAGAAGCTTGTGAATGTCCTGGAATCACCCACATCATCCGGCGTCTTTGTGCCCAGACGCACCATCGCGGACGGCTTCGGCGCCCTCATGGCGCAGCTGTCACTGCAACACCCGGGAGTGGCCCAGAGGAGCATCATGGATGCTCTCCTGAAGCTGCTGGCAGGACGCAGCGGCTTCCTCGGCGACCTGCCACAGGAGACCATCGTGGAGATGACATCCAGCCTGCTGAAAGCTGCACCCTCAGAAGAGGTCAGTTTGCAAGTGTGATTGCATCTGTAAAGGTAGAGAAGTCAAATGTATATCTGGCAGTAACTAATAATTTTAGTTCCTCCTGACCTGACTTGCACAGAGGCTCAGTCAAACATTATTGATAATCTGATATGTTGCCTGTATACCATCATAAGCGGGAAGTGCACTGATTCATACCATAGGGCATCAGCACAGGAGTCATTTCTGTTTTCAACTTGCTTAATCTTTTTTTTGTGTAGAAATGATCCTAAATGGAATGAACCAGCTGGAATGCTGTAAATGTTGCGTTTAAAGAAAATGGTCATTTACTTTGAACAGTCTTTTAACCGATAATGCATATTTCTCTTATTTTCTTTGTTTTAGTAAGTGGAATTTTTTTTCCTCCCTGGAATTTGGGGTGCTCAGTGTTCACATCATGGTTCTTTATTTGACATTGTTCTTAAAATCCCCAAAACTTGTTACATTTGGCATTACTTAAATAAACCACTAAGAAACGTTTTTCTGCATGTACAAATTATTTTGTCCCTGTCATACTGTATTGTACTGATGCCATTTGAAAAGCATGGCCTGCATCTGAAGATCTTCCGGGATCAGTCTGATCAGGTCAGCAGAAAAGAAGCATTTTAACTTGATTGACTTGAATAATCATTCATCATTCATGGGCATGGAAAACCTTCTTTCTATCATGGGCTTTAAGTCTTGTGGAGGTCGTCTGCTGCTCCCCTGGTTGGGGGAATTTACGGGTCACTATCCCTGCCTTGTTCTCGCACCTTATGACCATGGTCACGGTTAGCGTGCGGGGTGCTGATCGCCCCCTGGTGGTAAAGCTGGCCATCGCATCACAACAGCCATTCTCTCGCTTATTGCCCATCTAATTTCATTTCAAAGCAATGTCAGCATTATTAATAAACAATACCGGTCTTAGACGATGTAGCACCCCCCGTCCAAGGCGAAGTGAAATAGGCAGGTAAGTCAGTGCTCTCGCAGAAGTTGGCGCCCTAGTCAGCTACCTGCATCGCATATAGGACTGTTATAGATCTAGATCTACACAAATGCACCCTGAAGTACAATCTACAATATATCACTATTAATCTTTTTTTATTTATGATACAGTATTGAAATACCAATTTGTTTCCAGCAGCTTAAGTCTTATGTAATCTAGCTTTTGTTTTTTTTTATTTTTGTATCACAGACGTGGCCTCCATCGATCCACTCCATTTTCCTGGTTCAAAAACGTCCCGAGATTATTTCATGAAAATCTTGTACTTTTTTCATACCGTTCTTTTCTCAATATCATCAAGCGCCCACTACATGAATAGGTAACAGTGATAAATCCGTGACGCTCTTTCACGGCCCTTAGGAAGGCGGTGACGGTAAGAGTTAAAGGGTTCCCTGTCTGGGCCGATGGGCGGGGAGAGAGGAGCTGCACGGCGCTGAAAGTTTGCTTGGGATGGCGGAGGGAGCAACTCCGGGTCGAGGATAAGCGGCGACAAACGGCTCGCAAAGCGTGAAAAGTCATAAATAAGGATAAAGCAACATGGGATTCAGTGCATACAGAAAGAGCGCTGCTGCGGGGGAACAAAACGGAGTATAAAGCAGAATATGTCTTAGTAGGATACTTCACGATTGCCTGAGTATGCTTTATCTGCATTGGATTATTTCACGATCGTCAAAGTATGCTTTAGCCGTACTGGCCGCGCGTTGTTCGGTTGTTTTTCCGTGTTGTTTGCGAAGTGCCTTTAAATGTTTGGCTGCCAAATCGCTCCGAGCCCGGCTCTTCTGATCTCTCTAAACTTTGGCAGACTTCACGACAAAAGGTGTTTTTAACAGAAATCATGTGGGAAATAGTTCGCTTTGTACGGTGCAAGGCGCTATACTGCCTGTTCTTACAAGTGTTTATTTGCAACGTCAAAGGTAAGAATGTTACAGCCACTATATCCAGCCGAAATATTCGTTGTGTGTCCTAAGTGTGCCGATCGTTTAGTTACCCTACCGGCACAATCACGGCTTTGCTGATGTGTTTATCCTGTTTTAGAGCATAAACATCATCCTTTTAATCGATGTCGGGAATTAAATGGGAATTACTCTTAGCTCTATTTTGAGTTCAGAGGACAAAAATGACCTTTAGGCTACTTGTATCAAACCTTGCAAACGTGGCGGACTGTTTACTATCTGTGTCGGTATAAATGCAGCTGTCTGCGGTAGTAGATATAGCCGCAACGATATATTTAAAGGAATGAAAAACAATGAGGAGTGGTATGAAGTAGATAACATTAGTGTTTATTATTAGGACTTAATGTTTGTATGGGCGGAAGGGCCACTGCCTGTGAAGAGTGTCTTCTCATCCACCCCAGCTGCGCCTGGTGCACTCAGGAGGTGGGTACACGTCTCCGCAAATCTGCCCCTGGTTAACATAAATGTTGCAGCGGAAGTGTTTTGTGCGAGTTGGTTAACACTGACAGATTTCTTGATCTGAAATAGCATGTGGATCTTATGAAAATTAACTTCCCCTCCCCCCTGCTCATGCATGGGTCCAGCTGTAGCCCACTGTTCTAGTAGATGGTGTTTCTCAATCTAGGAATTTGGGAAGGTGAAGACCATCACATCAAGGTGTGACCTGAGACAAAATCTGGAGAGGAGGGGTTGTGGAGCCCGTTACATTGAGAATCCCAGCAGCAATACATCCATACTGAGTAACAAGCCTCTGAGTCCTAAAAGCTCTGGATCCGCAGAGTACGATGTCATCCAGATAATGCCTCAGAAGATCTCTCTGAACCTCAGGCCTGGTAAGCAGTCTGTCATTCAAATAACTAATTTGTATCGCAAGAAGAATCTGACTGTTGCCCACATGGGTGGCTGGTGAAATAGCATGTTATAAAAATGACTTTGCAGCACTACTCTATTATCTGTGTTGGGTTTGAAATGAGAAAATGAAACTGTCCGGTCCTTCTTGACAAACAGGTCAGCAGGCGTCATTCGAGGTCCAGGTGCGGCAGGTGGAGGATTACCCCGTGGATCTCTATTACCTGATGGACCTCTCGCTGTCCATGAAGGATGACCTGGATACTATCCGCAACCTGGGAACAAAGCTGGCCGAAGAGATGAAGAAGATCACCAGCAACTTCCGTCTTGGCTTTGGTTCCTTTGTGGACAAGAACATCTCGCCCTTCTCTTACACGGCACCAAAGTATCAGGACAACCCCTGCAATGGGTTAGTACCATGCAGCTGTGGAAACGGACTCATTAACAAAAAGCCTTTGTCTTTACTGGCACATCAGTGATTCTGTGTAACCTTCTAGGGCTGCTGCTTATGCCCACAGTCGCATATCTGGAATGAACATTTTTCACCTTGTCCTTGCATTTCAATGTATTTAAGGTTGGCACCTGTTTGGCGTCTGCCCTGATATATTGTTACCGTGTTTCCTACGCATAATAACTCGGGTTCGGAGTTGATTCTGTCTTCTCTTTCTTTGTCCAGCTATAAGCGATTCCCCAACTGTGTCCCTTCCTTTGGTTTCCGGCACCTTCTCTCACTGACGGACAAAGTGGACAGATTTAATGAGGAAGTACAGAAGCAGATGGTGTCCCGCAATCGTGATGCACCTGAGGGTGGCTTTGACGCAATCCTGCAGGCCTCGGTCTGCAAGGTCAATCCTCATTCTTCATAGCTTCTGAATGTCATTTCCTGAGTTCCACTGACAATACCAGTTTTGGTAGAAGAACACATTTTCCTCATAATATTTCTGTGCAAATATGAGACTGACACTAGAGGAATAGAGCCTGTATTGTTTTTGCCCATGATTGAGCATCAGCGTGCCATTCACTGATAAATGATTTCTTTGAAGCTATTCAGTAGGATCTATACACACATCGATTTGTGTGAGCTAGTCACTGTCAATAGGGGCTCAGGGGGCAGCTGCCAGCTATGACCCTGACCTGGAAAAATGGTTGGAGGATGGATGTACAGTGAGTGTCCCACAAAAACACAAGGTCGTGAATTATCTCTCCCTGTGATCTTGGATACAGATAGACGTTTGAGACTCAACCTGGAGTCTCATCTCTTACAGGAAAGGATCGGCTGGCGGAAGGAGGCCTACCACCTGCTGGTCTTTACCACAGATGACATCCCTCACCTGGCACTGGATGGGAAACTGGGCGGCCTGGTGCAGCCCCATGACGGCCAGTGTCACCTGAACGAGGCCAACGAGTACAGCGCCTCCACCAAGATGGTAGGACACTCTGCATGTGCTGTGGCACAGAGTAAAACTTCAAGACTGTTCCCGAGAATAAATGGTGGTAGAAATACGAGAGTCTCCTCAATTAGAGAGCATCACACCGCCTCGGTACTCTACTTGGGCACCCCTAGAATCTGCAAGAAGTTTCTGGATCAGGTGACAAACATCTGACTTTTAAACCATCACACACTTGTGGCTTGTTTTTGGAGTGTCTGATGATTCACATCATTTGCGTGCTGTTTTGTATCCTTCAGATTAACTTGGAAACGGTCAAAACAAGAAAAACCACACAGTAAAAGCAGTAAACATCTTTATGAGTGCATATTGCTATTCAAAAGTAGTTTCAGATTTTACTTTATGTTTATGGATGTTATCCAGCCTTCCACGGTAGACTGCCACCCTAACAGATGCTTTTGTCACCGTACTATAATACCAAATAGGCAGTATAATTTTTTTCTGTAGTCACACTTTCTTGCCACCATGTTGAACTGGCTGCTGTGATTGCTTTGCTGTTCCTTGTTTTGGAGAAGACATCTGAAATGGAAAAGCATCCATCCCGGCTTCTTGCGGCTTGTTTGGACTTGGCAAACCTTGAACATTCTGTCACATAATACTTTTGGGGTTGTTACAAAAAAGAGCTTGACTTGGCACTGCAGTCCTGAATGATAATTAGCTGATGGTAGCAAAGCACCAGTTTGCAGAGTAACAGCGTGGGTGGATTTATGCTTTCAGCTCGGACTTAAAATGTAGCGCATGTCCTCCTCTGGCTGAACTGACGTCATGTGTGCTGCACCCTTTTTCTGTGGCTACTACCAGAAAATGCAGAATTTTATGATATAAAATGTACCTTTTAAGTATCATTGTCTAAAGACCATTAGGATTGTCCTTGTCATCATCCATCATCAATGATGGCCAAACGTGTATGGATAAACATTTGTATTTGGTTACTTATCTGATAAGTTCAGTCAATGCATGTTCTACTGGAGGAATTCAGGTTAAGCCCCGTGTTTGGCCTTGGGTCCCTTCTGGGTCCTGGTCGTATCCTTTTCCTGCTGCCCACCACAACCATCTCAAAACCTTGAAAAGCTGAGCAGCTTTCAGTTCAGTGTCATGAGGGATGTTCCTTTCCTGTTCTCCCAGTAAAAGTAGTTTTCAGTCTTTGCCATGTTAGATGGTGGGACTGTGCAGAGTTGGACCAGCTTTGATTTTCTGATCTGTCCATTGTTGTCACCTGCAGGATTATCCTTCTCTGGCTCTTCTGGG